ATCCATAGCCGCGTGTCCTTTCACAAGCTGGCCCACTCGTCTGAGCTCTCCCCACTGGGTTTAGAATTTACGCTTCAGCGCTTAGGGTTCAGGGTTGAGATTGTGTTTTTTATCGGACCTTTTCTCCGTCCACCAGGCGTCCCAGCAAACAGAGATCGCTTTACGGCTAGACCCTTCAGCGTCAGTTGAGATGGTTTAGGGTTCAGGGTTTGGGGTTAAGGGTTAAGGGTTTAGGACTCTCCGTGATCCTCCCGCGATCATGAGGTTCTACAAGAAAATGCCATTCTTCTGCTCTCAGTCCCTGACTGAGCGGTTCCCTAGCAAGACACTCAGGGCATCACTGGAAGCCATACCAAAATTTGTGAAATCCTAGCTGACTCCTGAAAACCCGTGAATTCCCAATGGAACCCTATAATGACCATAGTAGTTTCCATTTTCTTTTCCATTATCCCCATATAAACCCAATATAGCCCTAAAATTCCTATATTCCCTAAAGGCGTCCCCTAAGCCCTAAACCCTACACCCTAAACCCTTCAAACCCTAAACCCTTTATATTCCCGTCCCGTTGACAGCTGCACGGCTGCCGTTGCCGCCGGCACTACGGTCGCCTAGCAGGTACTTGGCAGCAAGGGCTACACAGGGTTACGTCAGGTGCCAGGAACTCAGAACATTACCGCGGAGATGTTCCTCGTGAGCTGGGAATGTCAACTTGTGTGTTTTAGTTGCTTCTTTTTCCATTATCCCAAGGCAACCCCAATATTATCCCGATATCCCGAAACCCTAATTGAATTAGTAGTTTCCATTATCCCAATCTAACCCCAATATACCTAAACCCTAAATAGTAGTTTCCAGCTTATTTCCATTATCCCAGTAAAGCCCAAATATCCCCTTTCCGTGTCTCCACCTTCAGTGGGTAAAACCCTAAATCCTAAACCCTAAATAGTAGTTTCCATTTGCTTTTCCATTATCCCTATATACCCTAGATACCCTATAGAATCCCTGTATAACCCCTATATCCCCTATACAACCTGCTTTGCCTGCTTTGGGCGCTGTTGCTGGCCACGGCTTGGCATTGCTGCCCATGGAGGGAGTCCTGCGGCACTACAGGAGAGCTAAACTCCTTAAAGCGCGTTGTATAGGGGATATAGGGATTATATAGGGTAAAAAGGGTATACAGGGTATATAGGGATAATGTGGGGTGTTTAGGGCATATAGGGATCATGGAAACGAAGATGGAAACTACTATGTAGGGTGTAGGGTTTGTGTTATGCACTGACGAACGAGCTCTGAGCGCCCAGCATTGGCATGTCATCTGGGAACATAGCCGTTTCTGCCTCATCCTGAAGCTTGCGGAGCATCGACAGTTTGCAGAATACACATGATATACGAAGAAATTGCGTGTATCTACATATATATATATACATGTATTAGGACTCTACATCTATAAGATACATATACAGACAGTGCACATGCATACACATGGAGAACTACAACAAAAGATGTGGTCGCCAGACATGCCGAAGCCTCCACAGGTCGATAGCTTCTACTTCGGCTCTGCCTGCCACGCAGTAGCAAGCATGTAATAGTCACGGTAATAATAGTCATAATACGTAATAATCATAGTGATAGTGATAATAGTAGTAGTAGTAGTAGTAGCAGCAGTAATAGTAACAGTAATCGTGATAGTAATAGTAATAGTAGTAGTAATGGTAATAGTCAATGGTGATGGAATAGTAATAGTAATTGTGATAGTCATAGTGCATATCTGTGATGCCATCAAGCGCGACAGGGAGTGCGATTCTGATGGCACAGCCGTTGTTGGCGGGACCTGCCCGACCCCAGATGAGCCATAGTCTAAACTCCTAGCATCCCCCCCTAGTAACCCCTATAATACTCTCCTACGTGACAGAGTCCCCTATACAAGCCCCTTTAAGGAGTTTAGACCCTAAACCCTAAACTCTAAAAAAAAGTTTCCATTTTCCTTTCCATTATCCCTACACAACCTATAAAACCCCCATATAACCCCTATATCCCCTTTACAAGCTCCCTTAAGGAGTTTAGACTATAGCTCAGATTTAAAGGCTTTAGCAGGACTACTGGCGTGATGGACAGCTTCACCTCGAAGCTCTCATTCGCCCTTGGGGGCGCCGAGGAAGATGCCTGCGCTGCTGAAGAAGTCCTGCAAGACACGTTACTATTCTTGCTAGTACTATTAGGTTCATTACTAGTAGTCTTATGACTATTAGTCTTATGATTATTATTACCATTATTGTGATTGTTATTATTGTTAGTCAGGTCATTTCCTTCCCATTCCTTCCCTGTTTGGCCCTGAGCTTCCTAAGCTTTGGGTGTGGCAGCTCTACCGCTACCAAACAGAAAGTTGAAGCTTGTGGTTCTCTGTGAAAGCTCAATTGCAGGTAGCTCAAATGCTAAGCGTATAGTCCACCTCAAGTAGATAGAATATGGTTTCGGGTATATTTTAATAAGATCCCCATATACTCCATATTCTATCTACTTAAGGGGGACTATATGCAGAGAACCATGTATGTGAAAGTTCCGAATATCTGCGCTCACTCAGAGGCGACACGGCTCAGGCTGGCCAGCAATACCTCCAACTCTTTGACATACCCATTCAGGAAGCCCATAACATACTTGAAAGGGATCAAACAGTTTTGTTTAGCTCATCAGGGGCTACAACGTGGTGGTTCGCCTGAATAATGGGACCCCAATATAGACTCCAAAATACTACAATCCTTTTTTGGGACCCCCAAAATGGTAGCCCTAGTCTTGGGAGACCCTAAAACCCCCAAACCTTGTATAACCCGTATAAAACCCCTATTCAAAACCCCTATATAACCCCCTTATAACGCGGAAAGCCCCATGTACCCTGGTGGTCGTGGGAACCCCCGGTGCATAGTCCCCCTTTAGTAGATAGAATATGGTGTATATGGGAATCTTCTTATACTATACCCAAAGCCATATTCTGTCTACTTAGGGGGGACTATAACTCTAAACCCCAAACCCTATACCCTACTTAAGGGGGACTATAACCCTAAACCCTAAACCCTATGTTTTGTATACTTAGGGGGACTGTGGGCCCAAAAACTTGGCAGGTTGCTCCTGGCTGTGGCGGCCTGGCAGGGCCTGGGTATTCTCATGGGATTTAGGGTTTCGGGATTTAGCGTTTAGGGTCTAGGGTTTGGGATCTGGGATTTAAGGTTCAGGGTTTAGGGTTTGGGATTTAGGGTTTAGGATTTAGGGTTGGGATTTGGGATGTAGGATTTAGGGCTTAGCAGTAATACATATTTATAGCAGTAAGAGTGATCACTGTAGTAGTAGTTTCACAACATCAGCAATACTAGCAACAACAATAGAGATACGAATTCTAATCACAAAAACCATCATCGCAATAATAATACTAATAATAATTGAGAATAATAGTACTAGTAATAACAACAGCAATGATAACTTGTAATAATAATAATAATAATAGGAGTAAGAATAGTAATAGTGGTAATGCATCGACGCTGGTACCCTTCATGACCGCTGACCGCGCCCAACAGCAATCCCTCACTGTGCTGCAGAAATTTGGTGCGGCTGGACACCATGAACCCAAAACCCTAAATCCTGCACCCTAAACCCTAAATCCTGAGCCCTAAACTCTAAACCCTAGTACCAGCTACCTGAAGTCCCAATCTGTTGGTCCCCCCTGTAATAGTGGCATAAGAGGAATAAAAGGACCCCTAATATAATCCTTATTATCCCTTATAGTCACTATTACTGGGTGGGGGGTCCACCTAAAGGAGCTGCATCAACAAAGCAACAGAACATGCAAGCAGAAGTAGTAGCAACTGGCATTGTAGGGGTGGCAGTGCAGCAGTAGCAGAGCAGTTGCCACGGGAAGAGGAGGATGCATGGGTTACGGCTCGGCAGCAGCACCAGCACCAGCAGCAGCAGCAGCAGCAGCACCAGCACCAGCACCAGCAGCAGCAGCAGCAGCAGCAGCAGCAGCTGGAGCAGCAGCTGGAGGGGGGAGCGATATCAATGCAAAAGCCCCGGCTTCTTGGGAGTGGACGCAGAGCGCTGTTGCGGCTGCGGAGACCGGCGCGATACCGGAGCCTAAGACTTAAGAAAATCCCTACAAAATTATCATTGCACTGCCAGCAGAAATTGTAGATACGTAGCTCCGAGAGAGAGAGAGAGTGGACAGGCTACGAATGTCGCCTAGATGCTTTGAAATCTTAATGGGAAGCTCAGCAGCTTTCAGATCAGGAGTGATTAAGGTTGGCGCTAGTCTAAGGTTTTCCCCAAGAAAGGCCTTGGCAAACATCCCTATATTGGGATAATGGAAACTAAAATGGAAATTACGATTATACATTTTTATATATATAGATAAGGATTATATTAGGATAATGGAAAAGAAAATGGAAACTACTATGGTGATCACTACTGGACTGGACCTGCGTACTAATGGGACCAAAACCGTTAGTCCGTCGTCATACAGTACTCCAAGTTCCCTGAGACAGTTGAGACTCTTCCTTTTGCGAATCCAACCTAGGCTACCGCCTTCTCAAAAACTCATGAGGTTCCATGAATTTCGCCCGGAATAACCCCCATATAACCCCTATATAACCCTTATGTAATCATGTAATCCCGTATAACCCCCCATGCAATCCCATAGGACCCCTATATAACCCCTCTATAAATCCCGTATAACCCCTATGTAACCCCTACATAACCCCCATAT